CTCAAATTTAGACTTTAATTCAAACCGTCATCTATCTGAGTCCAGCGGCTGAATTCTATGCGTTGCGTTTTTTCAACACAATTGCAGTATAAAACCCCGATTTCGCTCAAACTTGGTGTATAAACTTCTTATCGGCAAAAAATTAGGGTGACCTTCCCCACCCAGGGTGACCCAAATATTGAAAAAAATGGAAAATGGAACTTTTTTGACATTTTCACACTAGAAAAGTGTGGTACAAACTTTCAAAACTATATGCATGGTTGGATAGATAATCGATGGGGCTACAAAAAAGTCCACTACGACCACCCCATCCGGGCCCATTCAGGCCCTGAAAAGTGTGTTCAAAGTATAAAATGTGAAAAAAGTCAATTAGATGTGGTTTTATTTTTTCGATTTTTTGGGCTTAAATGGTAGGCAACCTCGAAATCTAAAACATGGTGAATCCGAATCTCTACTTGCACTTTTCAAAAATGTAGGAAAATTTTTTTTAATGTAATTTTGGTCTCACCATTTTCACAGGGTTTTTGGCTATATAGTTTTTTTACACACCAAATAGGTGGGCTGACGATGGTGGTGTGTTCTGATGAAATGCCCAGCAGACTCCAACGAATCAAATAATACCATTGGTTGGGGCCGCTCTCTCCTTTGGAGGGACAGGGGAGGCTCAAAAAGTCGAAAAATCACAAAAAATCACTATTTTAGGGCGAAAACAGGGAAGAAATCCGCTTTTGGTCCCAAAACACTATAATATTCGGAAAACTCGTAAAAAATCCTACTTACGCGTAGAACATTTTAACTTGATCAAACCCTTCCTTCTGCCTCAAATCGGGGTCGGTAGTTTGAAAATCGGGTTTCTGCAAGTACGCGACCATTTTTAACTGCTTCAAAGTCACTAGCACTGGTGCGATGTGTTCCTTAAATGTAGCGCTTGATGTCTAGTTTCTTGTGGCATATAACACGTGTCACTTCTATGGCTAAAATTTGGCATTGGGGAGGCTAATATTGAAGAAAAAGGTGAAAAAATCGCACAATCACACCACAACTGCCGAAATCAAGGCAGTGGACCTGATTTTTGGCCAAAAATGATTGCATTTTCGAATTGCCTGTCGAAAATTAGCTTAAGAATGGCTAGTTTAAATTTTTTTAAGCTTATCTTCAATTAAAAAAAAGCTCGAATGGTTGAATGTTCAAATATACTAAAATTGACTGTGAGTATTTGAATGGAGTTTTTAACACTATGATTGTTCTTCATATTTGCAACATATTACTGTTCTTGGGGGACTCCAGGGCCCCCAAGATACTTCATATGAAATCTGGACTGTTATAAGAGATAACAAATTAGTGTCTGAAGCAAAGTTGTAATACTCGAG